GTGCCATGGGGCCGCCGCCACACACCGGAGCCGCCGCCGCCGCCGCCGCCAGAGCGAGAGTCTGCGCAGGCGCGTCTGTTCGCGGCCTCCGCGGAGGTCCGGCCTGACCTGCGCAAGCGGCGGGAAAGAAGGCGCATGCGCGCGAGGGGCCGCGCCGCCGCGCATGCGCACGGCCGCCCAAGGCTCCCTCGCTTCCCGGCCCCTCCCCCGTCGCCACATGGCCTCGCAGGGGGCCTCTGCGCCCGTGCAGAAGGCCGCCCCGCCCACCGGGTGGGAGGCGCCGGACGCGCTGGCGCTCTCTGGGGCGGCCGCCGCCGCGGAACACGCGTTTCCCAGCGGGGTGGGAACGCGGCCCATCGGCACCCGCCGGCCCGCTCCCGAACGAGCGGCGCGATCTCGTGCTGCCCCGCCCGGGTTCTGCCCGCGGCCCGCCGGCCCCCCGCCCGGCCTTGCAGTTGGCTCTGTTCATTGCAGGCGTTTCCAGCGCTGCCCGGGAATGGCAGCAGAGTCACTGGCCGGCACCGGGGTAGCAGCCCTTTCTTTGCCCTGGCCCCCCTCCGCCTGCCCCCCCACACACACACACACTCGCACGCAGCAGTGGTTTCTGTAGAGACAGCCATCAACTTTCAGGGCTAAGATGGCCAGAGCTTGTCTCAGGTCAAGCAGAGAGAGGAAGGAGAAAAGTTTAACACATGTGGTTGTACAGAAATAAATCCATTTATTTTTATAGCATTTTTCTTTCCAATGAATACAGTACTTGTAGATGTCAAATTTTGAGAGCAGAAGAACTGGCACTACATTGCTGAGGATTGCACAGCAGGGCAGAAAAGTTAACACCTTTATAAATTTTGGACAGGTAAATTCTGTAATGTTTTTCACACTGAGATAGGGAAGCTATATTCAACACATGACGTGTGTTTTCAGATGTTGCTCAAAATTTGTGAAAGCCACGTCTTTCCAATATAGTTTGGTCAACGTGCTTCACTGTAACCTGTCAAGGCGGTTCCACTCAGGCATCAAGCGGAGGGAATCCAGGGACAGCAGCAAAAGCGAGCGAGCGAGCGAGCGCTGCACCATCTTAAGTGGAGTGATTGGTAAAAATGCATTTTTCCACAAACATCACACAAAACCCCGTTCTTCAGTCATGTCTCTCAAAGATGGTTTTCCTCTTAAGGCTAAACGAGAAGACATGTTACAACATGATTGCATGATTAAAACGATTCCTATTTCAAAAGGTCGTCTTCGTTAGTCGACGCGGGGGGCTGTGCCAAGAGAGTGCAAGGGAGCAGCGTTGAGCTTGTTTCCGCAGAGCCGGTCCCAGCGCCACGGCATCTCGGAACAGCACCGGAGCAGAGGGGGTCCGCGAGGGTCATACTGATTTTGGTGTCGGCCTTGGGCTCGTACGGGGAAACCAAGTCCGTGGGGCTGACAGAGAAGCAGGCACTCCGAGTTCGCTGCAACACGGTACAGTGCAGGCACAGTGAACTCACGCAGCCCCAGAATGATCCGCGCACGCTGGCGCAGAGTGGTGTGCTTCCGGCTGGCCCCCCAGCATCAGGTGGCTTGGTCCAGGAATTCCTCCAGAGTTCTCTTGATGTGCGGGGGCTGGGACGAGGCTTGGATCAACAGGTTGTCACCCATGTGTGCAAAAAGTGCGTTTGACAGTTTCGCCGTAGCCGTCCGGATATTTCCTCCCGCCCCAGGCAAGGAGCCACTGTTCGTCATGTTGCCCAGCAGGTGCCACAGGACCACCAGGACTTTCTGCTCTACAGCATGAGGCTTCCGGGGATACAGCTCGGCAGTGAGATCTGGATTCGGGAAGGGACAGGAGGAGAAAGTGAGCCGTCCATCGCACTGCACAGATGCCTCCCCAGCAAGTGGCCCAACATGCCGCAGCTGCACACAAGCGCCATCCTGAAGTGAGCCTCCCGTACTCTGCGCCATGTCCAGAGAAGGGGGCAGAACGGTCACCAAATAACCACAGACCCCTGCCCTGGACGCGGCAGAACCACCGACGCAGGGCGGGATCTTGCGCAAGCTACACCAGAGAGGCACAGCACGGGCTGCCCTGGCTATGAGGTTTCTTTCGCGCGAGAGAACGCAAGCGCCCATCTGCCGGGAGCCTTACCGGCAAGCTTCTCGGTGATGTCTTGTTTGGCTTTTCCGTTCAGAAACTGAGCTTTTGTGCAGAACGGCTGGAGAAGCAGATAACCATCTAGATGGAGGGGAATAATGGGCACAGAAGACCACGTGAGTGGGATGCGCAGGAGACCCCACCTGGATGCCTACAACTGCCTGGGTAACAGAAAACAGTGCATGGGGCTCTGGTGCGAATCTGGGGGCTCCACAGCTCTTGGCACAAGGCAAGCGTGCGCACTGAGGCCTCGGGAATCGGCGCCCTCCCCAGTACTGATCCACAGTGTTTTCGGTGCGGCTTCCCCCATGCTGTGCGACTTCAGAGTTGGCCTAAGGCATACAAACACAAGGCCCTCGTCAGCTCCCTCTCTGCACAGGACAGAGAGTCTGTGCACCAAACATCGGGGCTACTCACAGAGGCATTGTTTGTGGAATGGGACAGGAAACAGAAGTCCATGGCTACTCAGATCCTGCCTGACAGAGAGCTTCTCTTAGAACATTTCCGCCTAAAGCTGGACCAGCAGCTGCACAAATAAAAGTATTACCTAAGTGCTGACAAAGAGCTTGGATGACGCTGGTGGCGGCGGCATAGATGCCTGGGTTCTTAGAGTTCAAGTTGTTGTCCACCAGAGCAGGAATGAGCATATTGATGACCGGGGAAAGCTTCTCCTTCAGCAGCGGAATCAGCCGGTGCATGGTCTCCAGGGCAACCTGATTGACTTTGCTGTTGGAGTCGTGCAAGCGGGACTTGAAGGCATCGAAGATCTAGGAAACGCACATGACCACAGCCGTTGGGAATCTACTGCCTCACACAAAAGCAGTTTTAAGTGCCTGCCATCTGCATTTTCATCTAAGTGCAACACGATTATGATGGCATAACTACAGCTTGGTGGGGTCCTGCTTTGCCAGGACAAGGTTCCTCAATTTCCCATTCTTAAAATGGGAATACTAGTCATTTACAACTCCTTGAAAGACAAAACACAAAGATGTAAATAACTTTGCAGGCGAATAGCTTGCATTCACTACAAAAGTAAACCAGTTTTAAACCTCATTAATACAAACTACAATTAACAAGCTGCAACCGTAATAAATAATGAGGATGGCCTTTTATGTGCAAATCTGAGTAGGACGGAGGGGACTGTTATCCCAATTTTCAAGAAAGGGACAAAAAGAAGGACCCGGGAACTGCAGACTGGTTAGTCTGGCATCAACCCCTGTGAATATTCTGAAGCAGATTGTAAAACAGTCACCAAGGCAGGGATGACTGGAAGCCAGCACAGGTTCCTCAAGAACAAATCCTGCCAGACTGATTGATCCGTTTTTGACTGGGTAACCTTCCGGAGACTGTGGGAATGCTGTGGACATAATCTGCCTTGACTGCAGCAAAGGTTTGGACAAGATGCTCCATGATAGCCCGATCAGCAAATGGTTAAAAGGTGGCTCTGTTGCAAGCAGATCGCTACCCTCTGTCCCTTTCCCCTTCAGCAGACTTCGATGGGCCAGGGACAAGGGAGAGGAAAAGGAGGCGAGGACTAAATACCAGGACATGAGGCTCCTGTTCAAGCCCCAGGGCGCAAGGGGACTGGGAGCCATGAGGCCGGGAAGGGTGCGCCCAGTTCCCACTATGAATCCAAAGCATTCAGACTGTTAAGGGCTCCTGAGAGCAGGCTGCTGCAGCCCTGCAGAAAGCCAGGGAGAAGAAAGGAGGGAACATGGGAGAATGATTAAGGGGGTCTCTGGTTCCGCCTCGTTCACAGAGGTCTATTCCATATGATGCTGTTTTGCTTTTCCCCCGGCCATGTTTGCTCTTGGCACAATTCTCCCTTTGGGGGTGAAAGGCCCCGGCATCGGCTCCAAGCAAGCTCATTCGCTGGGAAACAGGCACACCTCCGTTCTTATCTAATGGCCAACGGAAGAGCAAGAAGCCTTCAGTCCACAGAGAATGCGGCGTGGAGGGTTCTGTGTGCTGTTACCTTCACAATGTTTGCAACCACAAGGTCTTGGTGGCTCTCTGTGTCTGCCAGTAACTGCTTAATCCCACTGATACGATCGCGGAAGTCTTTTGCATTCAGTAAAGTCGTGATGATCTTCACATATTCTGCACTTTCCAAGGTGTTGCGAGGAACTAATTTCCTGGACATTTCGCGTACCTCTCTCCTCTCTCTGCTGAAAAAGACATGACAGGGTATTGTTGTTGTTGTTATTTAAAACATATGCTGTCTCTCAGAGCAGGAATCCTTCCTAGGCAGCTTTCAAAGTTAAAGTTCATCTCCTAAGAGCGAGTCTTGGGGGCCTTTCCAAAAGCCCCTCCCACCACGGCAGCCGCTCCAGAGGGGGGTGCACAGCCGCAGCCACCACAGGAAATGCCTCCTCCGGCATTCTGGTCCACTTAACTGTCTCCAAAGGAGAGCAGCCAAGGCAGCCCCTTCCCGCTGATTCTGCAGTACAGGAGGGAAGATACAGGAGGAGGAGGTCGTTCAGCTGAATTAGTCCCTCTAAAGTTGTAAAGGTTATGGCCCTCTGCACCACGCGGCTCTTCCAAAAGCTCTCCAAGGGCAACGCAGTGTGCGGCAAGGATCCTGCCCAGACGGCACGAGTGTCCAGGGAGCCAAGGCAGCACCTACCCTCTCCAGGCAGGACCACAGCGAAGGTCTGGCTGCTGCTGGTGAGATGCACTTCTGGGCAGTACCCACCTAGGTGTGCCTGGTTAGCACGGAGTGCAGAAGGGCTCCCAGGCTCCACACGAGCGGAACGCAAACTCATTTCATACCAGCCATAAACCTTCATCCGGAGCAGCGGGTCTCCCAGCCCACAGAGCCTCCATTTTGCCTGGATTAAGTCCCAGCGAGTTCTCCCTCACTTACCCCGAAACAGCCTCCAGAGAGGGATGAATGAGCTTGACGTCCTCCCAGGACGGACGGGTGGAAAGGAAAGGTGGGGCCAAGGATCTCCTTCACCAACCCAGGCCTCCCGCAGTTCCACGTGGATGTTAAAACTGCCTGGCACTTCCTGGGCTGATGGTCCCAGGTGGGACCCAGCTTCTGAAATCGCTCCAGCTTCCAGGAAGGAGCAGGCCCTGCCCCATACCCGACCCTGCTCAGGGACTGAGGGATGCTGCAGTTGAAGGTGCTGGGTGCCACTCAGGTCAAGAGCCTGCAGTGGGCATTTCCCCCATCCATTCCTTGGCATCAGCCGTCACTCAGCGTGGCCAAGGCCGTTGCCACCCAGTCACCGCAGCCAGTGCCTGATGGGAGCAAATCCACATCCGTATCCTCCAAAGCTGCTTGGACTTGAGAGGCCGCTGCCTCCTCGAGCATCTTGACCAACAATGGCAGACGTGACATTTACTACTTTTCTACCCTGCTTTTTTTTCTTACAAAGAACTCAAAGCACCTGGCCTCAGTCTCCGTCTCCTGCCCTCAGTCTGATCCCCACAACGGCAGCCCCGTGACGGAGGCTGGGCCGAGCGTCTGCAGCTGGCCCCAAGTCACCCAGCAGGCTCCTTGGCCGAGCGGGGACTCAAACCCAGACCTCCCGAGTCCCAGGCCCGCACTCTCAGCCACTACACCGCAGCGGCTCTCAAATATTTGCCAGCCGTTATCCGAAACAACAGGATCGACAGGAAATACGGATTCTCCAAGACCTGCCTCACCACTGCTTGCTGCAAAGGTTCATGGACCTCGGCATCCTGCAAGGAGGGACAGACCACCTTGGAAGTCCCACACCAGGCCCAGCTCTGGCAGAGATCACGTGCCAGGAAGTGGCCAACTGCCAGCACTGCGGTCCTCGTGGAGCAGCGGCCACGACGCAAGCGGACGGCGCACCAGCCCTGCCCATCTCAGACTCCGTCAGCACGGTGGCCTGGGTCAGCCTGCACGCAAGGCCCCACAGGCTGTTCCAGCCGGCCACGGAGGATTCGAGCGGCTGCACCTTCGGGAGGGCTATCGCCCCCTGAAAAACCTTGGCAGGACGTCAGGCGGGCAATCGAGGCAGAGCCGTCGCCGTCACAGAACGACATCACAGACGGATCCCCGTCACAGTTCGAGACCCCCCGCCTGGCAGTGGCTCTCGCTGGGGCAGTTTGGGCCAGCCGCTCGCCCTCAGCCTCGCCTCCCCAGAGGATAAGCCGTGACGGAGGAGAACGCAAGCCGTCGCAGGCTCCTCGCAGAAGGCAAAAACGTCAAGATGAACAAGCGGGATGCGGATGCAGCAGCAGCAGCAGCAGCCCTGGAGCGAGCCACGTGGCCCCACCGCCTGCTCTCCCCGGGCCCCCTCCACACCGCCTTGGCCACGCACTCCCGGAACCACGCGGCACGGCCGTACCTGTCACCAGCACCGAGGGCTTCTCGCGACACAGAGGCTGATCTTGAACTGTCCATGTTGCTGGTGTGGGAGCGCCTCCCTTTGGCCGAGGGTGTGACTACCGGCATCTCTCCCAGCCCCTGAAATGGCAGCACAAGAACCAAGGATACTGGTTCGTATTTGCACATTGCATCATGTCACTCACAGAAAAAAGTACCCAGAGGTATAGGAGACTGCTTCAAAGTTCTGACAAAACATGCAGGACTCGAGAAAACAGAGGAAAGGGCAGACAGAAAAAGTAAGCGCAGAAGCTTTTGAGCTACAGATAATTTCAACTGCAATTGACAAAAGCAGGTTAATTGTTAGGAAATCTTCAAAACTTCACCACCCTGGCTAATTTAAATGAAAAGATGCAGGAAGGATGCCTCATGATTTATTCTTATATGAATAAGATCTTGTCTTGCTGGTGCCAGAGTGCAGGACATGGAATAATCAATTCAGGTTGCAACAACCCAGATTCAGGCTGGACATCAGGAAAAGCTTCCTCACTGCCAGAGCAATACGGCAGTGGGACCAGCTGCCTGGAGAGGTGGGGGGCTCTCCCACTCTAGGGCCATTCAAGGAGAAACTGGGCAGCCCTCTGAGCGGGGTGGTGTAACGTGGTGTCCTGCAGAGGCAGGGGGTTGGACCTGATGGCCTTCCTGGCCCCTTCCAACTCTTCTATTCTATGATTCTATGAATATTTATGAATACCAGAAGCAGTGGCTACTTAATCAGAATAAAAACAAAGTTTAAAAATGATCAGATCAACATTTCTTAGGAAGGGTTTGACCAGGCATCAAAAGTTACAAGCTTGGTGCTAGTCCAACTTCCCAGCTCAAGATGCCCACGAAGCGCAGAGCCTCTGCATTACACCCGTGCAGCCTGCCTCTGCCGGAGACGGCACTGCAGGCCTTCTGCCCGTGGCAGAACAACACAGGGAAGCCTTAAAAGAGCTGCTCCGCCCGTGCAAGGCGAAAGCTGGCCAGACCGTGCAGCCCCCGCGCTCCCGAGACGCCACTTCTCCTCCCGCCTGCCATTTTCACAGGTTACCATGTGGGGTCATTCATGGCACACCTTCTGCCGCAGGCTGCCAACGGTCTCCTTCACGTAAGGCAAGTCCTTCGGCAGCACGTACTTCTCAAGCATCTTATCGAAGTCCGCGTGTGTCATCAAAGTGAAGAGCATCTTTCGGCCATAGTACCTGCAACCGCCACAAATCAGTCTGGTTAATGGATGCCCATGAAGGCAACCGGGGACATTTCTATCAGGCCCGATTAATTTAAATCCAATAATAATAATAATAATAATAATAATAATAATAATAATAATAGGCTAAAGTTTGGTGTCCTAAACATAGAGCCACTACGGCCTCGCAAACAAAGTGCCGGACCTCGCAAAGGGAGCCGGACCACAGGCTTGCCAACGGCCCCCCCGCCCCCTTATCACCCTGGGGCAGCAAGGGGGTCGCTGTGAGAATTCCCTGCCGGAATGGAAGTCAGGCTGCAGCGCCAGGCATCCGGGGACTTCAGCGTTCTCCTTGCTCCTCAGGTTCTTTAACCACAGACTCTTGGCAGCAGCTGGACAGCGGCTTAGCCACAGAACCATGATCCATAGCCTATTGATGCGAAGTGCGGGGGGGGGGGAGCCTCCCATGGCCAGGATCCAAACCACAGAAGACCTTCACACCTCTAAGTCAAGCAGCACGCCTCGCCCACATGAGAGACGTGGCTCTGGAGCTCACGTGCACTAAATGCGTGCGTGCGTGCTCTCTCTCTCTCACACACACACATATATTAATAAATTTATTTTTATTTAAAATATTTATTTACATTTAAAATTTATTATTTTGTTTTTATACCACCCAATAGCCAAAAAATTAAAAACATATAAACAAAAACTAGGGAAACTACATATAAAATAATACAAATGCAGAGAATAAAAAGGACTTCCGGAACAGTGAGAACGCAAGGCGAGCGTCATTAACGGGACTGCAACTCAGGTCTTGACCAATGGCACAATATGCCCCAATGCGGTGGGAAGGCACACCGCACGTCTAACAAGGCAGCTGCAAGATGTGGAACTGCCTGTTTCTCAATCATTCCCTCCCAAGATCTGGAAATACATGTTCACACATGCAGTTTCATCTCTTTCCTCATCTCTGATCCTTCAGCCATTTCTGTCATGCCACCTAGATATTTCTTCATGTTGTGAGAAATGGGGCGGCGTATAAATGTTTTAATAAATAAATAAAATAAAATAAATATTCCTTGGACGCAGGGCGAAGCCTCGATTTTCACGGGAGCGGGTGCTCTCAGCATGCCAGCCGCTCTGCACTCGCTCAGAGGCTCCAGCCCGCGCTGCCCACCTTCTCACCTTGTCTCTTGTGAGCCGTCCTGGACAAATTTGGCCACGGCAGACAGTATCTTGTCAGTGACATCCTTGAGGCCTGACAGCACACGCCCAGGTCCCATGTGCTCCACGACGTCGGAGAGGTGCTGGGCTGCACATCTTCTCACTGCTGTGTTCAAGTGGCTGGTGAGAATGGGCAGGAGTCATGGGAAGAGGGCGCATCCAGAGGGAAAAGGCACCAGCACCAAGCCCCAGGACACCGGGGCCGGAACCGTCCTCCAGAAGGCGTGCGCAAGCCGCCCCCCCACCCGCCACGCCCCTGCTGGAGTGACTGACAGGGCGGGGGCCGCGAGGGCGACACAACCCGGCCACCCAGGCACCAGCCCGCGCCCCTCCGGCCAGCGGGACCCACGCCAGGGGTAAGTGGTGTGGCTGGACACAAGCGCCGCTCACACTGACTGGCCCTTCTGTACCAGAGGCCAACGGAGCTGGCCTTGCCTCGCCTCGCCTCGTGCGCTCGCGAGCGGCTGTGGCGGAAGCGCGCAAGCCAAGCTCCAGGAGGCTGCCGAGGGCGCCTACACGCAGGCGAAGAGCCACGAATCGGCCTCGCCAGAGGGCAGGAATCCACAGCAGTGGTCCGTCTCAGCACCGGAAGTCCCACCTCTGCCCGTGGCGCCTCCAGGCGGACGAGACAAGGGGCGCTGCCTGGCCTGGCACAGGTCACCCAAGTGCCCGGACGATCTGGTGAGCAGCAGTCTGGCCACCCCCACTGGCTCCACAGGGCCCCCTCTGCACCCCGAAGGGCACCGTTACCTTTGGCCTCCGCTGATCAGGGAGGAAAGCGCGCGTGTGGGTGTCGCGTTGTTAACCATGGCCTTCAAGGCTCGGTCAACGTCCTCCCTGATGAAGGTGTTTGACTCCCCCGCCTTGTGCAGGAGGGCTTTCACCGTGCTGTCCAGCTCTTGGTCCATGCTCTTTTTCAGGTAGCTGAACAGGTCCCCCAAGCAGACCACAGCCGCCCGGGACACGACCGAACGTAAATTCTTTACCTGCAAAATGCGAAGAGTGGGTTGGTCACGGGTGGCGAGAGGCAACGGCTGCCTTCGAGTCCCCCCTCTGGAATGCGGCGGAGAGTGGCGTGTGCACGCATGGGAGAAGGCCCCTTGGCCCCACCGCCCTCTGAGAAAGCAGAGGCTCTCCCTCGGGAATAGCCCGTTTCTCCTGCATCCCCTCCAGGTGACGCCCCGCTGGCAGACACAAACAGGCATCCACACAAAACTCTGATTTCAACAGGGCAGGACCCCGGGGGCATCCCATGTGCTCGCATGCTGAGTCTGTGCAAGAGGCAAACCCGCTGACTGGTGCATCCTTCCAGGCCAGAGTGGAGGGGGGCGCATGAAACGAACCAAGCTAAGGACTGAAGCGCAAACCATGCAAACCAGCGCAGTGGCCGGTGGCAAATACCAGGCGGCTTCAGCACTCCCTTTAAAAACTCCGGGCCGAGGCTTGAAGGAAGAGGCCTGGGGTAGGGAGAACTGACCTCCTGAACCACAGCCAGACTGGTTTCGTGTAACTTCGCAGTCAGCACGTCGGGGTGGTAAGCAGAAAGGCACCGAATTGAGTTCAAGCCTTCAATTTTCTTCTCCCTGCGTTTGAGGCAAGCGAACCAATGAACGCACATCAATTACGCAAACAGCCCAGCCCACAGGCAGCCAGCAAGCTCCCTGCGTTGCCCCGGACATGTGCCTGGCTCTGTCCCAGACAGGTCCCGCCTTCACAGCTCAGTGCTCCACTCCCCCTTACGGATGCCTTCACAGCACCTGTAATTTTAAATATTTTAGACTGCTAATTAGTTCTATATTTTACTGTTTAAAGATTTCACCTTTCAAACTACCTTGAGGAGACTTTACATTGAAAGATGGCATGAAAGGATTTTTGAAAATTGAATAAAGTTCTTGGCAAGCATCCCCAATGAAAATGAGCTGTTTTAATGTGAAAATGAGCTGAGAGAACGGGTGATAAAAGTGCGGTGCATTTTTAGGACAGTTCAGTTTAAAAAAATTAACACCCTCCTTAAGTTCCAGTTATGGAGGGTGGGAAATTCCCAGTTTCAACCTGGCTGAGGCTGCCATTGCTGAGATCAAAACCACGAACGCATCGCTGCCGAGGCTGCAAAACGGCCGGAGGCTGGAGGGGCAGAGCGGAAGAGGCCGGCTCAAGGCAACGTACCAGTCATGATCAGCGAGATACTGCAGCGCTTCCAAAAGAGCAATTTCAGGTTTGGGGAAAGGTCTCAGCTCTGACGGCTCCATGATCTCCGCACTGTGCATTACAGACAATGTCCGATCCTTGAACGGCATCCGTGAATGGGAAGAGACGTCTCCTGCGGAATCGCCCACCTGGTCATGCAACCAGCCTCTGCCACAGGTGAGCAGGCCGGCTTGCACAAATGCGGCAGGCCCGGGGCTTCGCGGTGGGACAGGCAGGCGCAAGCATCAGCAGGGCCGGCCGGCCCCCCAACGGCAGGCGCGACACACCTGCCCCCCGCCCCGCTGCCAGCCCAGTTTTGCTGGAGCAGCAAAGGTGTACCTGATTCCAGCAAGAGGGATGGTGGAGTCCTTTTCACACTTGACGCTCTCTTCAGCCGAGGACTGAAAAGGGCACTCCCTGAGAACCAAGAACTCATGGTGGTTATCAGCACTCCTCCATGGATCCCTTAAACTGTAACCCTCAAAGCAAAGCTTTCTTGACGTATTTCTACCCCACCTTTTTGTCATATAGTAAAAACTAATCTCTATATTCAAACATTGGTACAGAGAGAATGAGCTGATAAAGAAACCACGTTAGCTATAGTGCAGAGCACAGCAGGAATGCTTCAGCCCTAGACCAAAATCCTCCTTTCCGCCTGCAGCAGTAATCTATTAAAACTAGAACGAGACAGCTGTTCAAAGTATTACGAGTACGTGAGCTGTTCATTTCATTATTCTCGTTCAACCAACGTCACGTGTGTGAACGCTTCATCCAGGATGAAACGGGCCAGAGGGCTCTTCCGCCCCGGACCTTCCTCCGTGCTGCCTCGCCAGCTGAGCAGTGCGGAGCCTTCCAGAGTGGTGCGCAGTGCAGCAAAAGATGCTGCTACTGGAAAATATTTTTACATGTTTAAACATTTATTTTTTAAAAAAACGCAGCCATAACTCGCATGTGTTTATGTGAGAGCTCTTTGACTCCCAGCCACTTTGGAAACCACATTAAAAGAGCATGGACTACCTCTTTCTGTTGCCATCTTCTCCGATTCACTTGATTTAAGTAACTCCCAAGGGCTTGGTTCCTTTCCTTCAAGGTCTCTAGCTTCCTGATACTCTTTTTCTTCTCTCTTCTTCAGTCTCATCTTTTCCCGGGCAGATTTGGATAAGGCCACTTTGATCTGAGAATAGCAAGTGGCGTATTAATGGATGAAGCGCTCTGGCGCTCTAGTGGGGAAAGGCACACACACGGTTTCCCCCCATCCTCCTTCCGCCACCTTTTTAGACACTGGCACGGACGACTCGCTCGTGCAGCTGAGCAAGCGCAGCAGCGGCTGCTCCACGGAGCGGCGGCTCAAGGCACCGCACGCAACGCAGCTGCTGTCCAGCCACCAATGCGAAACGCATTCCAGCCTCCCTGCACAAAGAAATTCAGCGGACGGGCTCCTGTTCATCTGTGAGAGATTCTGCCATTGTTCATCCGTTGGGAGATGCACAATCACAGAAGAACCGCACGTGGATTCAGAGACTTTTGGAAAATCAAAGGTTCCTTATCTTGCTCATCACAGTGAGCAAAAACAGGGTCTAACTACACTTAATCTGGACTACCAAAAGATGTTTGCTGGTGAGTTTTTAGTCTTCCACTTGCTGGAGTCTCTCAGCGCAAAAGACTGGCATTACACACACACAGCGGTGGCTGTGGATGAGCAGAAAGCACTCCCGCTAGAACTACGAGCAGATCGTCCTTAAGCCAATGACGATCCGCCTGCATGCGCGTGCTCGTTGGAAGGATAACCTGAACCGGCAGCACAGCAACGTGTCCCACTCGGCCCACAGCGCACAACGGGGCACTCGGGACACAGGCCCGGTCCCGCGATCCAAGGGAAACCGTTCGAAGCGCAGCCACCAGTGGGCACACGTCTCCCGTGTGCACTTGTAGCGCTCCACTTTGAGGCAAACCGCTCTCCCTCCAGCAAGGCGTTTCCCATTCTTACATCTCTTTCATTTTCCGCATCAAGGGAAGGTGCAGAACTCTGCTGCTGGACGGCTCTCCCATAGATCCCAGAAAGAGGCTCCATCCTCTGCTTGAAGGAAGGTGCGTCTCCGTTCTCCATGGAGAACAGTATGGACTGGCCATAAGTGAGCGGGGCGGACGGTGGGCTTCCAAACACTCCTGAAATACACGCTCCTTCAGTTATCAGGGAAGAGCCTCCTCGTGACAGAAGTCTATGCTTGTATACATGGAATCCAATTAAAAACATTGTTAAAAGTTGTGTTCTGCCTAGGATTAAGTACCACAGCATCCACAAGTCACTCAACTTCTTGCCAGCACCTACACAGTGGCGGCGTCCACACCCGCTGCAAGGCACAGGACATCTGGTGTCTTTGGTTCCATCCTCTGATCACTGATAGATCAGGTATTTTTATGTTGCATGAGAATTTGTTTCCTTTTGTGCCCATATGCATTCATAGAGATTTTACAACAAATGTACACTTGTGCTAAAATGTATTAATGCAAGTGCAAATTTGTGCAAATACTCCAGAAAGTTTTAAAGTCAGCAACTCCACAGTATCTGTGCAACTCATAAAAAGCTAGTCTGCTATGGAATCCACTTGCCCGCGTCACAGAAATCCAAAGTCGTTTGAGCGCATTGAGGAATTCTCTGTCACCTTGAGCCAGCACCACGCTGCAGCACACAGCGCGCTACATAACGAAAGCCCAGATAAAAAGCAACCAAGCAGCTTTTGCTTGAATGGCAGCTTTCATGTTCGTGGCCCAGTTAGAAATACATGCACAGATTCTTTGATCTCTTGCTCCACCAAAAATGTTTCAAAGAGGAGAAAGGGAGGTGGAAAGGAATCGCCCTGGTAAGTGGACTTTTAGTATATTTTGTTTTTTTTCTTGCTGCAATGAAACTGAGATTTTGCAAGGTGCCCTGATGGGGTCAGGAATACACTAATAAGAAGAAATACCTTTTCCAACAACAACTACAGCATCTTCTGTCAAGGCACTTGGTGAAGGGAACCCTTGGTTAGCCAGCTGCTGTAAACTTGAAGTGGGCCCCGTAAATCCTTAAAAGGAACACATACAGCAGAAATGTGAGTTTCTCCATTATGTTTTCTTTGCGTTCGCAAAACTAAGCAAGCGTTTAGCTGCTTCTGCAGCTATTTCCCCAGCGCCCAAATCCCACGGTTCTTGAATGCAAGAGCTAAGCTAACTGTTTTGGAGCACCGTACCCGAAGGAGCTCTTTCAGCTTACCATGGAGCTCCTTCCAAGAAGCAGAGAAGCCGATGCTCCTGCAGCACATGCCCGCCCACGGGATACCGGCACAGCCCCCTTGCACAGCTGAAAATCCACTGCCCCCCCCCCGGGCAACTCTGCAGCATTTTGCACCTGAAGGTAGCCGTTCACTGTGTGATGAACAGAGCAGCTAGAGAAAGCGAAGGGAGCGCGCAGGAAAGGGTACGCGAGCTGCAACCCAGAGAAGCAGGTCGAAGCCCGTCAGGTCCGGTGCTGCACGCCACCGCTGTCTGGCCCCGGCTCTTCTTCACCCACAACTCACCTTTCGTGGACCTGCAGTGCCTCTGGTGTTCTTTGCCCTGCCCTTTGAGGAGAGCAGGCGGCATCGCTTTCAGGCTGTCCTCTTCGTAATCTCCTGATCCATCTCCAAAGCTGAGGCGCTGGCCACTAATGCTCACGCCGGAGGTCACTTTGTCGTGAGACGAGAGCCCTGAGGAACAGAAGCCAGAGCCAGTGCTGCAAAGGGCAGGCCCCGGTGCCCCCTGAATTTCGCTTGCGTAACATGCCCATTGGGCACGTGGCCCTTGGCAATATCTTGCAGCAAGCCAGTGGGAAAAGGCACCATCACACCCGCTCGCGAGAGCCGGACACGGGTCTGCTCCAAATAAAATGCGATGAGTGAGAGAGAGGGCAGGCACGGGCATCCTGTGAGGATCCGGTGCTGGTCACGGAGCTGGGGGGGGCGGGCCCTGCCGAAAAGAAAAGGTCGTGGGAGGACACTTTGCTGCGGATGCCTCAACAGAACGTGCTGCCCTGCAGAGGGTGCACCGAGAAAGTCGAGGGAGACCCCAAGGCCACCTTTTCTCTTCCCAAATGCCCCCTTTCCTCCCCTACTATGGCAAGCTGTACACGTGAATTTAAGGGAAACGGGGAAGAAAACAATTGCCATGAGCAACCCCATCTTTGTTCTCAAGACAGCCTGGTCGGAGTCCTTTCCTAATGCTCTAGCTTTGGCCGGAAAATGTTCATGGTTTAGAATTGCATTGTTTCATAGCACTGGCCACTGAGAGAATGAAAGGGTACGATGCCAGTGGAATTAAGAGAGCTGGAACCGGTACAGTGCTAGTCAAATCTAAAATCAAACTTGTTCCCGATCTTTTGAGGTAACTAATCCATTTTTTAAAAAAAACATTATGGGCAGCTTTCCACGCAGGCCAGAATTACGTGCTCTTATCTGTACTGTTATTTATTTTCTTGAAGCCTAATCAGTTGAAGAGAAGTGTAAATAACTGAACTGCTATCTTATATTTATTTTGACAACCCAAGTAAAGCTTTGAGTCTGTTTCGATCTAGTATTTAAACTACACCAACTGTGTCTATTCAGAATTAAGTTCCACTGAGCTCTCTGTAGCTTGCTTTTTAATCGTGATGTGTTGCCCTGTGAAACCAAGGCTGTTACGCAGGTACACTCTGGAGCACTCTAGAAGTACACTTTTCACTCAGCGTTTTATTTATTTAAACGCTATTTTAATTGTTAAGGTTTATTTATTGATTTTAAACTGACCAGGCTCTTTCCACTATTTTATGTATTTTATGTATTCTATGTATTTTTTGTATTTATATGCGGAATTTTAATGATTGTAAGCCGCCCCGAGGCTTATGCGAAGGGGGCGGCATATAAGCTGTCTACCTACATACATACATACAACTCCCTGTCCCCATTTTCTCTCGCTCTGTTATTATTAGTGGGAAGTTTCCTGTTCCAGGGCGAAGGCATCTGCTTAGATATGCAGTGAGATATGACTATGATAAATAAATAACCTTAAATCTCTTCACAGAGAAGGATTGATTGTTTGATTAAAAGCATTTATACACCATCCTGAGACTTTTTAGTGAAGGGCAGTATATAAAAAGGGCAGTATATACTTTCTCTATGGCAAGATTTATGAGAAAGTCCTACATGCTTGACTCCCACTATGGGTTAATGTTCCCAAACTGGCTTCCCCACCCAAGCGCAGGCTTTTCCATGGGTGCAGCACATCACAGGGCTGCCCAAGCTCCTGATCACAGCAGAGCAAGAACAGGAGGAGGACTCAGCCGCGGCGATGCTCAACTGCCTTCGGTGCGCACTGGAATACCTGCACTGGGACTCTGTTCCACAGGGGCAGGGCCTCGATTCCGTGGCGGCAGCGAGAGCTCTGTGGCCTGGGAGTGGCCTCCAGGCAGCGGAAAGGGATCTGACCTGTGGCAACAGGAAGGCACTCCGTTAGCTCGCCCTTACCCTGCACAAGGGGCTCCATTTTTTTACTGTCTCATCTTCAGAGTGAGAATGATTTGGGAGAGATCTAGCATGTATTTCAGTATCCTGGGCGGAGCCCACATGAAAACAGAAGTACGTCCTCAAGAACACACAATCCAGAGTTCCATTTTGCTCAGAACAGCCAACAAGAGTCGTTACTTGAGCCCAGAACGGGTCTGAGGCGGCGGCCCTGGTCAGAGGGCACGTGGCCACAGGAGAAGAGGCTCTCTGGGCAGAAGAGGGCCGAGGCATTCAGTCGCACTTGTGCCCGTGCAAATCCCAGGCTAGCCCACCCCCGATCTCCAACCAGACAGACTCTTCAAAGGGGAGCAAGAGCGGAGAGGCCTTCCCCACGCAGCCTGCACTGTGGCCGTCCCTAAAGACAGCCCGCGCTGCTTTTGATCGCCAGGCTCATGAAAGCATGATGCTCAGGCCAGTGCAGCCCCAGGCAGGAATGGAGAAGCCCAGAAACTTGGCGCAGGCATCCCCTCGCTGGAAGGGTCCTTGGTCTGGGAGGCAACGACTCTGGCTTGTGCTTCACCGCCAGTCGCACTACCCTTCCCAATGCCACAGAATCTCCTATCGGCTTTCCAAACTCCCCCGAGTTTAAAATCAGCTCACACTGCAGGAGGGGTACGCAACTGCTGGATGACATTGCTGGGGCCAGGCCTGCTTCCCCCAAAATGCCGCCCCCCGAGGCTCTGGCCTCAGCCTCTGAAGCAGCCCTGGAAGACAAGGGGGGTCAGAATTCTTAGCAGAATGGCCAAGGCCAGCCGGCCCAGTGGCAAGAGCCAGGCCACATCAGCCACCGAGGAACTCTGCTGAACAGGCAGGGCCCCTCCGCACGTGGGGGCACAGCACGGTCCGTGGCGCAGTCCAGTGCAGGATCAAGGGGGCAGGCCAGCACCCCCAGGCCCCGGCCCGGCGCCTCCAGAACCTCCTCTGGGCTGGGATGCAGGAGAAGGGCTCCGCTCGGAACCGGCCCGTGGCCTGTGGCCACCACCGCCTAAGAGCCGGCATTCTCTTCCCGCTGCCTTCGGTCAGTGAGCTCCGCGGGGCCCTTCCCGGACCACAAAGCCGCCTCGTCGGCCTGGCTTAGCCTCAAGGCTGTGGCTGGAACCCCCTGCCCCGACCGGCTTGGAAGGAGAAAAGATGAGAGGGGTGACCTCCAACAAGAAGCTCGTTTATCCAAGCGGCATGGCCTTCCCCACAACTTCCCGGAAGACAGCCGCCCCGACTGGCACGGACTCATGGCTGAAGCCCACCTGCAGCTAGACTGAGGATGGGGGAAACGAGCCCCCTCCGCCCTTCCCTCCCGCCTTGCGCTGAGAAAGACACACACATTGTTCTCACTCCTTGATGGGCTGTGGAGAGCGGGGACAGTGCAGAATCCTGGCTGTACACGCCACTTTCGCTGTAGGAGCTGGTGGTTGGGGAAGACAAGCAGGAAGGAGACTCGGACGTCAGGTCGAGCTTCAGCACGGAGTCGGGGCTTTCCAGGTCAGAACTGCTGCCATTTAGCTTTGCCCTCTTCTTGGCCGCGCTATTGCGAAGAGACCGGAGAGACCGCTGCATCTGAAAAGAAAGGAAGACACGCGATCCCGACTGCATGGCTTGAACGAAATCCGCACGACCCTTTTGCTTTTCTGCAGCTGCTTCCTGGCTGAAGAGCAGACCTTCCATTCAGACATTAGTATATTCACCAGGAGCTGACAAACAGCACCAGAACAGCAACCAGGAATAGCCAACAGGAACAAGTCCAAAGACTCGAGGTGGAAGTTTGGAAGGGAAAAAGGGCCTGAAACGGGACTGAATCGCACACTGAATTTTAGGAAGCCCATCATTTCAAGGCCACGTGGAACAGACAGACTATCGACCGCGTACACGCAGCCGAGCAGCGCCAGGGACGGCTTGGTCAGGCCCGCCGGTCATCAGAGGCCTCGCGCCACACCCACCTCCTCCTCCTCCAGCTCCTTTTCGCTGATGCTCAGCTCCAACAGATCGAAGGGCAGCTTCTTATCCTTTCCGTTCAGCCACAGGTCCTCTGGCTCTGCATTCCTGTGTTCCACTAGGTGAACTTCCGCTTTCTCAGGCAAGGGGCTCACGCCCCGGGGGATGGGAGGCACGGGTTTTGTTCCACTCAGGCCGCGGCGTGAAGCCGGAGATCGCACAAAGGCAGGTTTCAGCTGAATCGGAGGCGTGTCCTGGGACTTTGCCTCTGCACAAAGAGACCACGCAACACACGGCAGAGACACATTGAAACCAAAGGAAATAGGCAATTGTGCGCACAAAGGATGACTTGCTCTTTTATGGAAAAGGCAACCACTGGACGATGCGCTAGTGTCCCAGCACCCCCGCTGGCTTCTGCAGCCCCCCCAGCTAGGATCTGAAAGGCTGGTGGGGGCTGCCCAGAAATCCTCACCTCGTCCTGCCCCCAACTCCCATACGAAGAACAGACTCACTCTACTGTAGATCCATTCCAGAAATGACAAAAATTGTCAAACTGGCGCTAGATGGAGAATTACTACAAATAGCACTGTGCCAGGAAACAGAAATGCTACTGCCACTGAAGAAGAGATGTTGTTAAATCGTAACTGGTAGAAATCGTGTTACTAATGAATTCTCCATCCAGTTCGCCACTCTGTTTGGTTTCCTGGCGATGCCCTTTCCTTGTTTGCTTTTCAAAATACCTCCATTCCCTCCTTTATGACTTGGCACGTGTCCTGAAGGCAGCACATAGTTTTATTACCAGGGTTTTTAACTGCATCCTCTCCTGCCACCGGGCAGGAAAACGTCTTCTGATGAGCAGGTTTTGGAAGCCCTTCGAAGCTCTTAAGAGGCCAGGAGTTGGAGAAGTTAACGGGGTGGTTCTGTGGCTTCTTGAGCGGATCAGCCGGAGGGGAGGAGTGCTTTGGACTGTGCCTGGGTGACGAGAACGGGTAGGACGGCAGGATGAAAGCGCCCTGGCCGGCATGAGACCCCGCGGGATGCTGTCCGTACTCAGGTGGGCTGCAAAAGGCCCGCTGGGGCTTGCGGATGAAATTGCGACTGGCACACACTGATCGGAAGAGAAGCAAAATGCATGGTCCAGATGAGGCCCAAGGAAAGGCAGAAGCAAAAGTATACACACACCATTCCTCGCCGAATCGGCCTGAGAAGCAAGCTTCAGGCACAACCAGCTGGCTCCGAGCATCACCGGGTCAAGCCGTCTTTGCTTTGCCAGAGCAACTAGGCCAACCGGCACAGCGGACGAAGACAAGTTCGCGCAACGCCGCCACACACGGTGGGAGTGTGGGCCAGAGCCGTGGCATCCCACTTCCCAGCAGCAGAGGGCCACGATCCTGCCCGGCACAAGCGCTCCGAGGCGTCGCAGCACCCCAGCCAGCTCACACCGCAACAGGCCAGGATCAGGCGAGCCTGCCACGCGTGGAAAGCAGCTGCTCGGCGGTCCTGCCTCTCGGGAGCCGCCACTGGGGCGCGGAGCAGCCCTTCAGGTGAACTCGGGGACCGGGGCTCTCGGGCGGCACCGCCCAGCAACGCTCGCCGGGCAGCCGCACCTCACCCACCGCACCTGAGACTGCCCCACCTGACTCTTTGGCAGCCCTGCTCTATGCAGGGATGATGATGATGATGATGGGCTGCCCAGCAGAGGCCCCGTCAGCATCTCAGGCCACACCTTTGCAGCTAGCAGGTGTCTTGCAGCAGCAACTTTCCTGCATGTCTCTAGCATATCCGAGTGCCTCAACACCCAAGCGAGAGCTTCGTCATTGGGAAAGCCTCCCCCACCACGTCTGCACAGAGCTTTGCAATTCTCATTTGCAGCCATCCAAGCCACGAGCCCTTTTGCACCAAACGGCTTGTTTTGAGCATGCCACCTGCCCCAATGGATATTCTCTGCTCCCCAGCACAGGGGCATGTTGTCCTGTGAGTCTGATGTACAAGCCCCTGGATCAGAACCCTGCAAGTCAGCCTGCTCAGTCAGCGCAGGCCGTGCCAGTCCCGGTGGCCTGAGCCGCGGCACTGTCTGCACAGACACCCACCGCCAAGCGTCGGATTGTGTTCTGCACCTCCTCTTTGAACAGTATAGAGAGGAGATGAGGGCACTACAGAGGCAAGGAGCGGCTCAGGCCCGGTTCAGGTTTTCCCGCGTACTTTAAAGCATGAGCAAGAAGAGGCAGTTTGGAAGCCATCTCCTGCTTGGGACGGACACCCCGTAGCACTGACTGAGCTGTTCCTGAACTGGCTTGCCTGCAGCTCTTTTATGTGGTAACATCAAAGCCAGAGCCGTCCATCCCAGCTCTCTTTGGAGGGAGCCACATGCTGGGTTTCAGGCAAGCTGCTTGCCACGGCCACCCCGCGGTGTGGCCACCCTTCAGAAACAGATCTGTGGCGGGGGGGGGGGGGGGAGGGGTGCAGGGGGGGGGGTTGGAGGGGGGGGGCTCAACCTGCACAACGCTGATGGAACCAGCAGTGATGTGGCTCAAGTACCTTTATCTTGCCAGGGGTTATTCACTCCTAGAAACTGCAGGTCAGAACCAACACTGCCGCTCTTTCCACGCATGTGCGAGAGACCGATCAGCCCACATTTGCCTGAAATACGGGGCTGATGAGAGGCCATCGTACCTTTCAAACAAAAGGGAAAGGCCAGTGAAGGGCATTTCTTGGCACTGTCCACAGCAAAAAACTGAAACAGACCTTTAAAACATGCAAGGAACGACTCTCTGCCCTGAATTTCACACCTTTGGGGGTCTAGAAATTAAAATGGAAAAAATGTTTGGGAATCCCTCCTGCAAATATTCCCAGGAATTCCAAAAGCAGCCTTTTAAGGTTTTTCCCATGTGCACGAGGCAAAAGAATGTATCTGGAAAGATGCAGAAAGAACAGAGTTCCTTTCTGCCAAGACATTCCAAAAAGGGATTTTTTGCTTCTCAGAATGCTGAACAGAGACTTCGGGACAAAGAAAGCTGAAAAACAAAATATTCAGAAATACTTCACACTGTGCTTTTAAGTATGCAATGCAAGTGCACAAACACACGTACATGAAAGTTGTGTGCTGAGCCCATCCTGCCAAGCACTGCGTTAAACGGGCCCTGAAACCGCCACCGAGGCACAATGCGCCATCAAAAATGGGGCGAAGCGAGTCTGAGCTTGCCTAATATGGCCGCCTCCCTCTTTTGGGGCACGGCAAGTTGATTGCTTATTATAGCAAGTGCCTTCAAAGGCCACTGTTTAAAATATACTAACCATTCCAAATTCTCTGCCAAGAACTGCTCCTTGTGTTTCAAGCCTGGTGTAGACCTGGCACTTCTGACCACAGAAGTGGAACGCAATTACTCCATGGTTTCCAGGTCCCTAGCAGGCCACTCTAGGCTGACACTATTTTTCTGCACCTGGAAGAGTCTGGAATGTTCTCTGTGGTCAAGGGACAAACAGAGATTACTTACATTCTCCCGGACCACCAGAGGACATTCCACCTGCCGTGGGCTGGGACCTCGATCTGCTGCATCCAGGGCCCTCGTGGCTTTTGCCCGGGCCACACCTAGCGGGTGCAGGAAGCTGGGAGCCCAAATTTGAGAGCTCAGCTGTTCTTTCTGGGTCCAGCCTGCTCTTTTCTTCTCTAAGGACCAGAGGCTGGGGGGGGGGGCTCCCTTTAAACAAGAGGCGGGAATGCTGCTACCCCACTCAAGCAAGCCCGAAGGAAAGGCGCCACCGTCTTCGCGCTGCACCCCCTCCCTGGAGGCACGCCGCGAGGCACGCCGGTAGTGCTTACCCTGAGAAGGCCCTAGTTTTGGAGAGTGAAGGGAATCGTCCGATGTTGAGAGCTGCAAGACAAGAAGGAAGCGGCAGCATTAACATACAATTCCCATCCAACGCCTTCCTTATAAAGCAGAGGTACAGGCTGCTGTTTGCACGCAACTGACTACTGCACAAGTTTGAGACAAAAGGACAAAAATTGCAGCATACAGAAAGAACATGTTAATCAGCACCCATTCATTCACGTCTGAACATTCCTGCTGAACCCAATATGAACAACGCACACACTCTCGGTCCCGACACGGCAGCTCTTCTCTGCCAGTCTTTGGGACAGAACAAGGGGAATTCTGAATTAGCCCAAAGTCTCATCTGGCCCAGCCCAGCGTTTGTCTACTGTTCAAAGGGTGGCCAACCAGCTGCCCGCAGGACACCGACAAGCAGAACACCAGGCCAGCGCGGTGCTTTCCTGCTCATACTCCCCGGGAAGCGGCGTTCAGAAGCGGGCTAGTCTCAGTGCTGGAAGGAACACGGCTGATGACCAGCAGGAACTGTGCTCAGCGTGAGACCTCACGGAGTCACCTGCAGCCCCTCCAACAAGAGAGGGTTTTCTGACCATCCCTCTCAAGGGGCTGCTTCATTTCTGCCAGCGCTCACAAATTCCTTCAGTTGCTGCAAGGCTATTTATGTTAATTTGTAACAAAACTGAGCTCACTGGAATGTTCCTGAAAGTAATTATTAATTTCCTCCATTACCCTGGAAAGTTTTTCTCAACAATTAATTCTGTGTCATGGCAATTACGCTGCTTTACAACTCTCTCCAAATTAACCAACACGTGAAGTGCAGACAATGAAATTCCGTCCCCAGTGCTGAAATCCACATTATTGCAAAGAAACTGTTCCGAGTGACGACATTTCCCATCAACAGAGCGGAATCTCAGGAGTAAGCGGAGCTCCTCTGGTCTGCTTCCTTACAGCCACAGTCCGCGAGGGCAAGAGGCCCTGGAGCCCAGTGGGAACGCCTGCACTGCCCCGACTTCCGCACCACCCGCCCGTTCTCCTTGCAAGGTATACCCTGCCTGGGGTTGAGCAAGTGGAAGGGGCAACAGCCCGACCTGAGTGGGGCAGCCAAAGTCGAATGGTGAGGATTTGCTGAAGAGCTTCCTTTCCTGACAGCTGGAAAAATGTGTATAAAACTACTTTTTTTCTAGTTCTAGAAATTTGCCCTTTTTGCAGTATTCAAGCAAAAGTCCTGTACAAATTACTAGAAGTCCCCACAAATTCCACCCTTGTCTTATCCTCAAAATTGAAGTTCTGGTTTCGGACTTGTTTTAAAGTATGTTATTCCCACACTACGATTCAACACACTTTTTGGTGCCTGGAGCAAAAGAGTGGCAAGACAGGGGGCCACAACATGCAGAAGAGACTCCTGCGCACTGTTGTGGTTGTGCGCCATCAAGCCTTGCCCAGCGGTTGGCGACCTCTATGAACCCATCATGAGAGTCCTGCCCCGCTGTTCTAAATTCAATTTCTGCCTCCCGTCCACACTCACTGTCCTGAAAACGAGGATGCGCCTGTCTCCTGCCACTCTGGGCCGCAGCAGCAGATAAATCCCCAAAGGGAGAACAACATCCCCTAAGCCAGAGATCAGAAGATACCAGATTTTGTTAACCTGGTACGGTACTGAATCTGCCTTGGTCGCCCTGTACAATGACCTGTGCAGGGAGAAGGACAGGGGGAGTGCGTCCCTGTTGGTTCTTCTGGACCTCTCAGTGGCTTTCGATACCATTGACCATGGTATCCTTCTGGACAGGCTTGCGGGATTGGGGGTTGGAGGCACTGCTTGGCAGTGGTTCCACTCCTATCTCAATGGCCGATTCCAGAAGGTGGTGCTGGGGGACTATGGCTCTGCACCATGGCAGCTATGCCACGGAGTACCGCAGGGGTCCATTTTGCCCCCTTTGCTTTTTAACATCTACATGAAACCGCTGGGAGAGGTCATCAGGAGGTGTGGGCTGCGGAATCACCAGTACGCTGATGATACCCAGCTCTACCTCTCGATTTCCACCAATCCAGGTGAGGCAGTGGCTGTGCTGAACCGGTGCCTGGCCGAGGTAATGGGCTGGATGAGGGCCAATAAACTGAAGCTCAATCCAGACAAGACGGAAGTCCTGTTGGTTGGCGGATTGGGCTTCAGAGAGGGTGAATTGAACCTTGTCCTGAATGGGGTTGCACTCCCTCTTAGGGACAAGGTCCGCAGCTTAGGAGTACTCCTCGACCC